AAAGAGGAAATGGTATCTTTAGTTTTTACAGTCAATGTAGTATGTTTTTTGTTTTTTAACAGAGGTGAGAAGGCAGAATATAACAGTCTTGATATAAAAATTATTATGACACTTAACCACTTGCATTTTATTAAAATTTTCTAAATGGACATGTTTGAGATGATCTGTAAAAAGTTATTCTAACATTGACTGTTAAAAATAATATTTAAACCCTTCAAAGAATGAGAGATGAATAAGAACAATGAATGAAACATCACACAAAGTACTCTTACATTTTCCACTCTCAAACTCAGATCTAGAGTTTCTGCCAGTTTTCTGGCAGCTTTGTGTTTTAGAGTATATCTAAAGCCAACATTTTTCAGTTTTGGATAGAGTGGGTAAAGTTTAGAATCCCTGCAAATTTTCTCTTTTTGCTGTGTCCCTCCTACATAGATTTCTCCTATCCCACAGGCAAAACAGGTAACCCCTTAAAAGTGAGGGGTAACTACAACAGGTGCCTGCATTCGGTATATTTTTCCTAATTTTCTGCTCCACCAACAACTGTAAAATATTGTATTTCTCGTCACTTTCTGTTCTTGTGACTGTGGTCACCAGGACAAATAAAGATGGCAAATCTCCCCAGCAAAGACATAAACAACGATAAGAAAACATTTCTATAAAACGTTCTGTGGTTCCAGTAGGAAGATTTACTCTCATTTCTTGATGCTACTGGCAATGCTACTACAAGGCCATTAGATTCCACACACTTGCCCGTGTCTCCTAAAGATTTCCACCTAAGAGATTACATCACAGTCCCTATTGAATTTTAACAAGCAAGCTTGAGCCCTGATGGAGAGGGAAACTTTAACCTCCAAAACACGTTGGATACTTCTTTTCTGCTGGTTGTGACTTTGTCATGAAAAATAAAGGCTATAAGGACTTTTAATTGATCATTTGCACTTGATTGCCTCTATTTATCTGCTCTCCTAAGTTCCCGCCCAACCAATAGCAAAATGGTGGCCGACTTTCATCGATCCGGGTAGGCGTCATATGATGTCCACCCAGATCGCACCTCGCGTGTGCCTGCGGGGCTGCGCTGTTGTGAGATCTATTACCGGCTGTGTCCCTTAGCCCTGTTGTCAGTACCATGTGACCGCTGTGACCAATCACAGCAGGTCACATGAAAATTGTAAACAATGGATGGCTTTCTTTCATGCCATCCATTGTATACAATTGTGTCACTAGCTATGATTGGTCAAGGTAATCACATGGTACAGACTGGGCGAATCGCAGCCCATCTGTGTCATGTGATTACCTGTGGCCAATCACAGCTAATCACAACAAAAAAACCTGAATGAATCGATATCATTCAGTTAAATGCTTGCTTATAGAAATGAAATTCTTTGCTATAAGCAATCATAATGTGTAAAAAAATAAATAAATTCTGATCACTTCCCCAGAGTAGTACAATGTTACTATGGTAACATTATACTACTCTGGTCACAGTGTGTTATGAAAGAAAAATCGTCAAAAGAAGAAAAAAATTTAATAAAAGTTTTTTTAAAAATTGAAAAAAATTATAATTTTTTTGTCATACTGACACCAGTCAGTGTCCCTGATCACTGCCATACCAGTTACATGATGACGCTGTACTGCACTGGTGACAGTATGTAAAAAAAATAATTCTTCCTTTTCCAAACATTTATGGCAAAAATATTACAATTTGAAGAACCTCACCACACCTCTTTCTAGATACCTCTGACTGTTTACTTTTCAAAAAGGGGTCATTTGGGGGATATCTGTACTGGCCTGACATTTTTGGGCCTCGAGAAATTAGATCGGCCGTCAGTACTTCAGGATTGATCGATTTTCAGCTATATATAATAGTTTGTGGACTCTATAACTTTCCTACAGACTAAATAAAAATACTGATGGGGTTATTTTCACTAAAGAAATGTAGCAGAATACATTTTGGCCTAAACTTATGAAGAACAACTAACTATTTATTTGCTAAATTTTTATAACAGAAACTAAAAAAAACATGGCTTATTTTCAAAATCTTTGGTCTTTTTAAATTAATTTTGCAAAAAATAAAAAACCCAGTGGTGATTAAATACCATCAAAAGACAGCTCTAGTTGTGTGAATAAAATGATCATTTAGTTTGCGCACAGCGTTGCATGACCGCACAATTGTAATTCAAAGTCCAAGAGTGCTGAAAGCTGAAAATTTGCTTGGGCAAGAAGGGGGTAAAAGTGCCTGGCATTAAAGTGGTTAAGCAGGATGGGCCCTACTTTGGTGGGTCTGTCCTTCCACTTTGTGTCTCCCATTTGACAAGAACTACTATCAACTTGCCCAGGCAAATGTTCAGCTTTCAGTACTGTCTCACTTTGACAATTGCGCGGTCATGCAACACTGTACCTAAATTACATTTTTATCATTTTTTAGACAAATAAAGCTTTTTTGGTGGTACTTAATCACCATTGTGTTTTTTATTTTTTGCTAAACAAATGGAAAAATATTGAATATAGTGGGAAAAAAACTTTTTTCTTAGTTTTCATTATACCATTTTGCAAATAAGTAATTTTGCTTCACTGATGTATGCTGATGAGTCTGCATTGATGAGCACTGATAGGCAGCACTGATGGGCACTGCTGAGACTGTACCTGAACTGATGGGCACAGATGAGGCTGCACTGATAAGGTGGCACTGATATGCTGCACAGATGGACACTGATATGCTTCACTGATGAGCACTGATGTGCTGCACAAATGGACATTGATATGCTACTCTGATGGGCACTGACATGCTGCACTGATAACCAGGGCAGTGATGACCAGTGCCCTGATTATCAGTGTAAATGTCCCCTGCAACAGGAAAGTTGGTTATCCGTTTTACTTTCCTCAGACAATGACAGCGCTGAGGAAAGGAAATGCTCATAACCGGCATTTGTTTGTCTGCGATTGGACACAGCTGATTACATGGTAAAGACCCAATGTCATTGGCTCTTTACCCTGATCAGTGATGTGCTGTGTCCCCCAGACACAGCTCACCACCGATTACCATGCTGCATTCCCCTCGGGGGCGTGCATGCGCAGCAAGAATGAAAGGAGGTCATATGACATCAACTCAGAACGAGAGCAGCCCAGCCCAGCAATCATTGTAAAATAGGCCGGGCGGGAACCAGTTAAACAAATTACACTAGGTGCTGATTTATGCCCCTTCCACATGGGATTTGACCTATTGGGACATAAAAGAATGAAGTCTAACCATACCTCCAAGAATGACCATTAAACCATAAATGCAATGCTTGTGCTTTTACCTTTTTTATTATTTTTATACAGGAATTATATAACGCCAACAGTTTGCACAGCATTTTACAATATACATTTACTTAGTTAAGGTCTATTCAACAAGATGAGTAAAGTTTCAATGGATGTGGAGTAGTACATGGAAGGTGTTAAGAAGTTGATTTACAGATATTTGTTGGTTTGGACTTACGTTATACACCTTATTATACCTGGATCTGAGAGTCTGCAAATGTGAAGTGGCACATAAGAGTGCACACCCTTTACAATCTTAAACACTTAACCGTCAGAGATTCAAGTGACTGTGACCTCAGATCTGAGTTTGAGGGTGGAATAATGTAAAACAGTATCTTGTGTTATGTTTCAATCTTGGGTGAAAGTTGTGTGAATCTTAGATGAAAACATTAATGAATATACCCCTATAAGTAAAAAAAATTTCATTGGGCTTTTACAGTCAGATATTTTATTTGTTGAATATTTTGCTCTCAAGCACTGTTTTATTAGTTGTACTGTCTCCATTAAATCCAGCAACACGCTTAGTAGATGTTCCCTTGCATCATATTAAAGAGAATTATTCATAAATGGATTTATTAGGAAAGGCTGAAAAGGTATGACTGATAATGTGTGCTGATACTGTTCACTGTGTCAGTAGCTTAAGCCACACAAAGGAAAGAAGAGTCTTTCTGATTTCTTTTGAAGGTCCTTGAAAGCATGAATGGCAATGAAAGGATGAATGAAGACTATGACAAGGGAACATATAGAGTTCAAGATCGCAAATAGATGTGGTAAATATAGAGATCCATTCAATAAGTCATCAGGCACCTTTAGACCTCCACCTTCAGCGATCGAACTTGAGGGAGGAAAATCCTAACTATTAGAACGATGTTCATCAGCCAGTCACCATTGTTCCCCAAGACACGACTTGTGCTGTTTGGATAGACATGTAGCTCAATAAAAAAAAAATATGAATATGCATGTCTGGGATTTAATCTCAGAAACAGAAAAAAATATCTCCATCTAGAAAAGGTGGAATTGGGTGTCTAATGAAAACTTATACAGTATGCATTCATTTTTTTCTAATTACTTGGAGGTCAATAATATTGTATTCTAGCATGTCAGGATTAGTAGTTTGTGCCATTATTGCATGTGTTGTATTCTCACCCTGTCAGAGCAGCAATGTCAGCTCAGTGTCGATTTAAAAGGTCACCATGAAGGTTGGCCTGTCTCTGCCTGAGGTCAGGGCTGGTAACTTTAATTTTTTCAGTCTTTTTTCCTTTATTTTTGCCACGTTGTCGGTAACAAAATTCCTGTCCCAGGGTGACAACACTCTCTCTCTCTACTGTATCAATGAGACAATATGTTGTCACCCAAAGGCATTTACTAAAAATGGAAAGTGCAAACTCTGGTTCAACTCTGCATGGTAGCCAATCAGGTTCTGACTTCAGCTTCTTCAGTTAAGTGTTATTAAACCAAGAACCCTGCACTCCCTCTCTCTGGTCTCCCACAGTACACAGAATATGGAAATGCAATTATTTTAGTAAATATAAAGTGCTAAATAATTTTTCTCATCAGCAGTTAGAGCTGTTTTGTGACTGCTATCAGTGTCCAGCAGAGCACTAGCTAAAGCTTGTAGGAGGAGTTTTCATTCTGCTATAGGAGGATACAGAACCCCTGACCTTTGTCTAGACAGTGCTGATTGGCCCTGTGATGATCACATGCACTCTCCCAAGACAAAAAAAAATATCTCTAGCAATAGACACAAAAACTGAGCATGTGCAGAATGACTCCAAACGATATGTCTTATCAAGAGATAAGAGGGGGACACTGGAAGAAAGGGAGGATCAGAGAAGTCAGGATCAAACAGCCTTTTTACAAAATGCAGAGGATTAACCCATTAAGTGAATATAACAAGCATTATTTTACTGTTGTGGGTTTAGTAACACTTTAAGGTTTGACAAAAAAAATCTGGAAGCTTATTGATTTCTATGCAGAGCTGCACCAGATTTTGCACTCTCCAGTTTTAGTAAATCAGGAGGCTATCCTTGTGAGCAAGTCATGAGTGGTGAACCGAATCAAGGAAAGTTGGTTTTTTGGTGGAGACATTACTGTATGCAGTCAATTCTTTGATTATTAAAAAATTATGCAAGAGGAGCTAAGTTTAGTGTGGCTGATGTTCTTTCACACTCATTATTGTATTCCATTTGAATTCAGTCTGAGTCGCCATAGCTTGGCTTTTCTTTAAGTACTTTAATTTGCTTTCCAGTCCTGATTTTAAGGGTGTTAACCTGCAGTATGTTATCACATTTCATAATCAAAATAAATTCTTAGATTAGTATTCAGTGTATCAATTCATTGCATTATATATCATCATTAAATCCAATGAAGAAATCATGAGTGGAATGATCACTGACATCATTATTCTTTGTTTCTCTGGTGCATACATATTAGATAATAGCTTCACTTCCATCTCTCCTTCACATTTCAGGGTCAAAATGTTGAGTTTATGGAGCATTTAACAACCATGCCAGGACTGATATGACATTAGCTTTATGAGTGAAGGGGGCAAGCACAAAATCCTTTACGAGTTCATATTACCCTTTTACTATGATTTAATGAGAAGTCTTTTCCTGGGAAATAAATAGCCCAATATCTGCCTTCTGTGTCTAGAGATTAGAATGAACAGAACCTAGATATATCATACAGAAGGCACTTAAAGTCTCATGATCATAAACATGCTGAGTGGATGAAAGAAAACCACAAGTCATACTGTTACACTTCATAACATCTTTATAGTATATTTCAGTAATGTTTCAGACTCGTGTACAGTGAAAGAAATGTTCCCTTAAGTTCTCCATAAGCTGTAATGGCCCCAGACATCCATAAAACAATTTTTTTTTTCACACTGCTGGTTCGTAGTTCCTTCTTTGTTTCTCCATGCCGGAGTATGAGAAGTTGTGCATCCTTAACATGTTCCTTAACATTAAAGTGGTGGAGCACTGGACTATCAAGCTTGGCATAGATTACAAATAAATCAAATGACTGCTAAGAAGTGGCAGCTCTTCAGCCCAGTAGAGTCCCAATGGGGTCCCTGGGAGAGTCAGCTTGTTTGGAGTGAAAAAAAGGAAGGGCCAAGCCATAGGATTTACGTAGTCCAGATATAATTTTTTGCCATGGACAAAAATCAACAGCCAACATGTTTTGGGGGTTATAAGTTCCCCTTCACAAGGGATACAACGTAATAGCAGTTTTTTTTAACAGTTGTTTTAGTCACACAAATGGATCAATATATTTATTCTATAAAAATATTTAAAATACATTAAAGACAAGGACATGGTTTATATTGCTAAATTCATGAAAGCACATCAGGTATAAAATTGTATATTTATTCTGAAGATTTTATTAGATAACTGTAATTGATATGTAAATACATATAGTGCCAAATATTTGTAGAATTTCTTCTTTGATGTGCACCTGTCCCCAGACTATAGGCATTAAGTTATTTACATATTCCTAACAAGCATTAAATACACTTTAAGTAATTAGCTTTAAAACAAGCACTGAACTTTCTAACTGCCTGTTCTGTGAAGTAATTCATTTTAAAGATTCTCAAAATCACAACAAAGCCTAAAAAATACAGCTGGCAAGCTGACAAAATTCTATTCTCCATAAAAACCTAAATTTTTTAAAAAAATACTCCCATATGCATCCTAGTATGAATGCCAGTGCTATTGGTTACATGTGTATAGGGTAAAAAAAGGCTGCAGTTGTGGTTCCCATGCATCACAACAATAAGCAAATATTTATTCTGTACAACTGTATGTCTAGTGTACAGCTTCCTACTGGGGAAAAAAGTTGTGATTTCCTTGCTTCTGTTGCTAACTTTGAAGATGAATTGCTATACAATGCCTATAGTTACAGAGGTGAATGTTGATAATATGGAAATACTTCCGTGTGCATGGTCCGGGCAAAGTTGTACTTTAAATTTAATTGTAGCACTGCAGAGTCATTTTCTCGTCTGATGTGTGTGATGGAGGCGTTTGGGGAGGTGTCAGGCCTTCGGGTTGGTTGGGACAAGTCTTTAGCCTTTCCTAAAGGCCCTACGGTCCCCTATGATTTTATATCTATTTGAATATTACAACTTTTGATCCAATTTCGCTATCTAGGTATTCAAATTCACTCTGATCTCACTACCTTTGAATCTCTCAATGTGACACCCCCTTATTACACACATGGAAACTAGACTCCCTACCTGGGCTACGTTACTCCTTAATTTAATTGGAAGGATTAAAATTTTCAAGATGATATATTTACCCACATTTCTATATGTATTTAGGGCCTCGCCATTTTTTCTCCCTAGAAAATTATTTCAAAAACTTGACTGCGTTTTGACTTCTTCCTTTGAAATGGGTCACACCTGCGAGTAGCAAGGTCCTCGCTTCAGGCATCCACGGTGGATGGGGGATTGGCGTGTCCTAACCTCCATAACTATTTTATTGCCTCCCAGCTGATTGGTTTCATTGCTCCACTCCTGCCTCCTCCACCATTCTCCTGTCTGCCCAGTATGGTTCTGCAGCCTCTCTTCGGGACACTCTTCATAGGTCTGATGTTTCTCGATGCTCCCACCATTCTCCAATAGATACTAGCTGGCTGGCCTGGCTTGAGGGGGGCAAGGTGTTATCTCCATCTTCTGTGGTGTCCCCACAAATTCCCCTGTGGCACAACCCTAATATCCCTGAGCTTCTAGATCACCCTGACTCAAGTTGATCGAGTTGTCTTGGTGTTACTCATCTCTCACATGTTATTAGTGATGGCTGCTTTATATCTTTTGATGACTTACAGACCCAGTATAAAGTGACTAACAATTTTTTTTTAGACATTTTTGCTGCTACATCATGCTATACCAGTACAATTTGGGACTCTGACCCTTGAGCTTTCCGAATCGTCGCTTGAAATGTCAGACCCAGATATTGTCAAGTTGGTCACTACCTTCTATTCCTGTCTCCAGGCAGCCGTGACTAACCCTTTTCATATTGCTCATCATAAGTGGGAGGCGGTGCTTCCTGGGCTGCTTGGAGAAGGTTGGGAAGAGGCGGCGGAGGTTTGTTTCCAAAATCTCATCAGTACTGCTGATAGGTTTACTCTGTTCAAGTTCAAGTTTCATCCACCCCGTATTCAGATCTGTGGCCTTACACCCTGGGGGGTAGGTTGGCCCGTATGGGCTTCAGATTGGGCCTGGGGGTGTGTTGCACATGTTTTGGGCCTGTCCGGCTCTTGGGTTTAAAAAAACTCTACATTTGCCAGTTCCACATACACCGGAAGTTGTTTTGGGTATATTAAATGATTTTGTACCTCAAACTCAGTCTAGAATATGGGTGCGCTCCTGTTTTATGCTAGAAAACTTGTCTTGTTAAACTGGAAAAGTGTCACTCCGCCCTCTATACAGAGATTCTGCTGAATGGTTAATATTGACCTAAATACAAGCTGATCTACAAAGATTGGGCCTGCCCTTGAAAGTTTACAAAAAATGGCAACCCTGGCTGGACATATCAGACTCTTTCTGGGGGGATATTCCACTATTACAGTGACTGTTACAGGGTTCTACAACCTGAGAGAGGTAGTTATTTTCTTGCGCTAATGTAGTGGCGGCTTATGGGCTTTTTATCTCTCCTGTCATTTATGAGGAATAGGTAGTGCATGTATGGATGTGTGGTTGTGTGTTTAGATTTGTGCGTGACTATATTCATTTGTTTTTTTTTTGGTTTCTTGTTTATCATGGAATGTTTCTATATCTAACTGTCGCCATTTTTTGAGATGGGCTCAAGGTAGCCCTGGCAAAAACGCGTTTACTGTTTGTATGTTTTTTCCCCTTTTATGTAACCCTTACTCTTATGTTCTTAGTTTGGGGCTCCTGTTGTTTGTTTTCTTTTTTTTTGTTACTGTAACTATTTTATGAACACAAACTAAATAAACACCTTTTAAAAAAATCTAAGTGTAGCATGATGCTGTTATCCTTTCATTCCAAACAAGTTCTTAGTTTGCAAAGACTGCAGTTATTTTTCTACGAGGCGAAAACTATAAATGAAATTGAAGGTTCCTTAGTTATTCCCCACCAACCGAACCATTCCCTATTCCTAGTAAATGAAACGTGGCATTTATTCCTTTTCTCCACATTTCAGCAGCCATGACAGCACTGGTGCTTTTTGGCCACCTGCTCAGACACCCAACACAATTACACAAAGGGAAGGGTTTTTGGTCCTGTGTAAGCTCCAATGGCTTTATCTCTTTACTCCTAGCAGCCAAACAGAGCAGTGGGATAGCTGATGAAGGGTAGGTATATTCTACAGGCAGGGTTCTGGGCCCAACTTTCTTACCACTGGTTTGCAACTCAGTAAACTAACAAAAGGTGTGAAAGGGAACTTACTCTTCAGAGCTATTCAGATATGAAAGAGAAGTTGTTGATTCTATTCATTTATACTGTATACTCCTAGCCATTTTTTGGTAAAGTGACCTTTTATCACTTATAAACTGTGTTATAAATTTTAGCTATGTAGTTTTAAGAGTCATTTATTTCTACCTTCTTCTAATACTACCTCTGGTTAACAAGAAGCTCACAGGAAAGAAAGATGATTCATTATATAAACCTGATGATACATTATCTATTCCACTCTACAGTGGTTACTTAGCAGACAGACCTTCATACACCAGCTACAGCGTAAACAACCCAATTATTTCTTCAAACTTTAAAGCCACAAACATTTTCTACATAAGCAGAATGTCAGGAGTGGATTTTTTAAAAAAGGAAAGATCATTAAGCTACAAATACATATTTAAATACATAATTTTTTTTACTGTCATTTACTTAGAACGCATCATACAATAAAAGTGTTTAACCCCTTGATGCAGAGCACACGCAAATATGCGGCCTCTTGGCGTCTGGGCCTTGACACCGAGCGGCCGCATATTTGCGTGCAATTAGAAAATACATATGTGCTGAGAGTGCGCGCCTTGCGCGCTCCCAGCACATTTGTTCATGACTCTGGGAAAGGTCCCGATCTCCCCTTTCAATTGGGACCTTTTCCGATCATGTGACCGCCGTGACAACAAATCACGGCAGTCACATGACCTTCAAACCCCGCCCGCCTCCCGGTTTCTGAAACCTCTTAAAGGGCTGGGAGGCACCTGCGCTAAGAGGTTAATAAAAACATTTTTAAGTAAACATTGTAGTGATTCTAGTGTGCAGGATAATGAACATGGGAGTCAATCTATACCAGTGGTCTCCAAACTGTGGCCCAGGGACCCTTTGCTTGCCTTTGTCTGGCCCTTGAGGCACTATTCCACCAACTGACACCAATGTTGGAGCTCCATTACCCCTACTGACATTATCAGTGGGGTACTATTCTTCTCATTGATAGCAACAATGAGGCACTATTCCTCCTATTAAAACCAATGATGGGGCATTGATGCTGGGGCATTGTTGGCTCCCACTGGCCACAATCTGGCCCCCCTAAAACCTAAAGGACAGTAAACTGGCCCTTTGCTTAGAAGGTTTGGAGTCACCTGATCTACATGCTATTTTATATATATTTTACAATGTATTTGCTCATGACAGTATCTCTTTAAAAAATAAGAAAACAAGTTCAACAAAAAAATTCTGTGGCATTTTGTGCAGAATTATTCAAATGCAATTGGAATTTCCTTCTTTGTTGCTTTTGATCTCTTCCCAAAATAGCATTCCAAAACAGAACTAATGCAAAAATAAAAGATATTCCCGCAAAGGGTGCTTTCAACAACAAGCAGTTCTCTGATCCCACATCGTGTTTGGTATCACAAGCTTTTACAGCAAGAGTTAGAAGTTCTCTGTCCCAAAAAAGCCATTGACTCCAAAAAGCATATGGCAATGGCAATAACATCAATGTTTCCACATCACTCTGGTCAGCTTTTCCTATGATATGATGTTGTAAAATAAAGAAGATGAAGATCATGAATAAGAGGCATGAAGCGTAAAACTGAAATCCAGGTACAGATATTTTTACACAGTTACATTGGTCCAGTGTAGACCAATGTACAGAAAGTATGCATTTTCCATATCTGGTCACTATTACAGTCATAGTCACTATTTTCTAGTTTGCTCTCTTGGCATGGCACCATTCAGAGAATGCCTTGCATTCTTCTCAATTAATTCAAAGCATTCTGTGCTAGAGGAGGAGGAGAGACAGGGCAGTGACATCATGCTTTCTACCTTGTCCAATCAGTGGACATCTTGTGTTCATTAAGATAAATGCTAGGCACTGTCAAAATAGTGGTCATGCCAAGCAAGCAACCCCTATATGTCATTATATAGGAGGGCAGCAGCTCGGCACGGGACCAGAAAAATAGGGAAGATCACTGTAGTGGCAGCAGCTAGTACAATGATTATCTGCTTCCACAAGAATTGGCCATGTACAGAATATGCCTATCCATGCTGGACCATTGTAGCTATACAAAATTATCCAAACGTAGAATTCAAGTTAACAATTTCCTGACAGTTTTGCTGCATAAAAATGTTATATTACAAACCAAATTTAATTTTGCTATAAAAACTTTAATTTTGAGGGTTATTTTTCTAATGCCCAACTGATTCCTGGCAATATTATAATTTTGTGACAAATTGTATCCTTTGGCATTAAAGATGATTCAATGATGACTCAACTTACATATTTAGTAGCTCAAAAAATCTGTTTTATGTCATACAACATTGATTTTGAGTTATAAACTTGTCATTAATTTAGAGAATGCACTGCACATCAATGAAATGTACTGAAACATGAAAATAATGTATTTGTTAAGCAAAATTGACTATAGAATAAAAGGATCATTTAGCAAATACTGACAAAACAAAAGTGTTGTAAGCCCAGCAAATGTTCACTTAAGATATTCAGTTTTAAGAGATTTTACACAATTAATATTTGCGTATAAGCTTTTTACTATCCAATTACTTTTTAAGCCTAACCAAAATGGTTTCTTAAAGAGTACCTCCACTTTCGTGGAAAAAAATATAGCAAATGAAAAAAAATAATATAGGATATACTATTTCTGCAGAAGTCATATTGTAATTTAATGTTATTAAAATTACCATCCTTTTCAATCTGTAACTGCTATAATGTTCTATAAATTCAATGCAATATGGCAACTTGGAGGCATTCTGTACACAGCTGATGTACAGAACACCCTCATTTCCTGCCAGGGGCGGACTGACAACTCATGGGGATCATGGGGCCCCTGTGTCCTTGCCCAAACTCAAAAAAGCCTATGAAAAAGGTACCAGGGGCATCTCATGGGGCCCCCTACTGACCCCGGGCCCTCGGGCAGTACCCCAGTTTCCAAATGGTGAGCCCGCCCCTGTTTCCTGCTTATTTGAAGAACTGCACTAAAATACAAGTCAGGTTTTAGTTATCCCCTGCAACAAAAATTTATTTAACCTATTCCTTTAGGGTTAATCACTTCCAAAAGAATGCTACCACGGCAGCTTTTCTCATCAGAACCCTGAAAGTGCATCAGCTGCTTGTAATGAATTAGCTACTCCAATTCAGATTAGTTCTGCACAAGACATGATCTAGCAAAGAACTATTCCTTCAGAGCTGAAAAAGTAGGAATCTGCAACAAAGATTTTTAAAATCCTTGCAATGTACATTGATCACACAGAGGGGAATGATTTTTTCTTAACAAAAGAGGAGTTACTCTTAAAAGTTGATTAGTTTCAAAACCATTGTTGTATTATTTTTTTTAACAATCTATATAAATTTTATTATACAACTAAATATGTTATAAAAGAAACACCTCTGATAGCAATGTCACAAAGCATTGTGTTTTTTTTTAATGAAAGATGCAGCAGAAGCAGTTTTCTTCCAGGCCCTCTCTCTGTGGCTGAACAAACCAGGATGGAAGAAGCGATGAGGAGTCACTGTTCACACTCTAAAGCCAGTTGGAAAAGTGTGCAGGTGTAGGTTTTATCCAAAGGCCCTAACAAAAAGGCCATCTAATTGCATGCAAGGTCTATGGAGAAAGATATGGTGGCCAAGTAAAAAGGACTAGAGATGGCTTAGACTGTGGCTGGTGGAAAAGGTCATTGGCTGATCTGAAGTATGCACGTGGCCATATGTATAGGACACAGACGGTGAAGGAATGGGCAGTTGGCCCAAACTGTACTAAAGTATTGTTTTCCCTTAACTACTAGGAAAGGGCAAGTAACAAAAAAAAAAACACATTTGGGATTGCTCTGCTGCTGTCTTTACCCAATTTGTGCCATCAACTGATTGGCACTCCCAATAAACAGAATTTAGTAATAGGATTTTCTGCCACACAGGGGATAAGGGAATATTGACATCACACAGCTTGACCCCTAGGTTTCTGCATGACCCAGCATAATTGGTGAAGCTGTTATTCCTAATGAATTCCTGCGGGGATATTCATGAAGTTCTCACTACAGGAAAGCATTTCCAATTCTTATTAGTGAGGATTTTAGTTACTTAACATATCCATGTTATTGAATGGAATAATTTTTGGACTCAGGCCAGTTAGCAGAGGTAAAGAGGGACAAAATAGCAGGTGATCATTTTAAAGAAGAACCTGTTGCAATCATAAAATATAATTATGTAACAATTACAATGTAAAAACAGCTAATATGTACTCAAGTATCTGGCAAATGTTGGGTTCGTATCTATCATTGCACCATGTTGACTGACTGCACCAGATTGATAGATTTTGGTGCAATTTCAGAGGCTGTTTTTAGGCACAGACACTGTATTCTGGTGCAAACAAGTGACACAAGTATAGACATTATGGTACAGATATTTGTCAAGAGGTGCTGTAGATTTTGGGGGATGGGGGGGCTTAATAAAAAGGGTCAAAAATCACCTTTGCTTCAACTGGGAAGAAGGAAATAATCTTTTAAAATCTTAATTTTCTAAGATGTGTGGAAAAAATTAAAGACAGAAGCTGAATTCTTGCTATAAGCAATGGTACCAGTTGAGATAGAACTTGTCTCAGACACTTTTAATTAAAGTAGAAGTAAAGGCAGAACTTTTTTTTCTCATTTTGGCTAGAGTAAGGGAGGGTTATAACGCCTGTCAGTTTTCTTTTGGCCATCTGTGTCTCATTGCCTTCACTTCCTGTCTAATAGCTGAAACAGAAAGTGAGAGGAAATCCCTGAAAATTAGGAAAAACACCTTGGGGTCCCCAAGTCACCAGAACTAGTGTCACCATTGGAAGATTTCCCCTCTATTACTTCTGTGAGGACAAATCAAAATTTTCTTTTACTTTCACATTCAATAATAATGGTACACAGGTCAAATAAAGCGGGTTTATCTCCCTAACAGGGACACTAATAGCATTAAAAGCCCGACAGGTGTTCTAATCCATCTCCACTTTATCCTGATTTAAAAAAAAAGTTTTGCCTTTAGTTCTAACTTAATTATTTTCTCTGTGTTACTGAAGGGTGACAGTCTACTGAATGTGTAGTCAGATAGACAGGCAGGAGGCATAGATGCTTGGTCAGAGAAAATGCTGGGTTTGGAGCAGGAATCTGCCAACAACAGAATCCAAGGATGTCCAAGTTGATAACAAAGAAAAATCTGAAAAGCATGAAGTAGACAGTAGGGTAGCAAGGTACACATTTAGTCAGACATTCATCCTAAGGCCGGGTTCACACATATGCAGGTTGTGGTTGAGGCATTTTCCCAATGCATTTTGCATTTTTATACACATGTTTTTGATGCGTTTTGCATTTTTGGGAGGTGTCTGTTGTCTTACAGAAGAAACCAGCAAAAATGAAGCACAAATGCATAAAAAATGCAAGCAATGCATTCTTGATGTGTTTCAGTTGCTTGTTCATTAAACTCTATGGAACCAAAAATGCAACTACAGGAGGGGGCAGAGACAAGACCAGTCACCCTGCACAAGGAGAGGGAGCAGCAGTGACCAGTCTTTATTACAGGAAGGTCTTGCACAGAGGGAAAGCTTCACACTGGATTACTACACAGATCTGGAAGAAATACACAAAGCACACCAAGATGCAAGTAAAAACACTAATGACTCTTGTATTTAGACAGTTTGCTTATCCCAGCTTGGAGTACAGGATTTCAATGGCCATCCAAAGGAGGAGGGAAACACATCACGTTTTGCACATCTGAGCCATGTGCTTGTATTGACATTTTCCTGTAGAGGATAAGTAGAATAAACTGAGGTGAAACATGTTTCACTTGCTTAGCACAGTGTTCAGCAAAAAAAGAGCAAAAGTTGCATACCTCCTTTGTAGTTCATGGAAGGCCTTCATTTTTTAAGTTTTACAGAATGACACAGTTTCTCTACAATTTCTTGTTCTTTAAAGCTGAGGTTTTATCTGTTTAAATTTTGCCTTCCCTGGTTTCCCCCTCCCCTGATCATCAGATTTTTAAAAATTTCATTGCATACCTTATTTTTGACACAGTGATTTCATTAGTGAGTAGCTGTGCTTCTCTATGCAATGCAGGAACATTATTGCTGGTGGGAGGGGCCAGCAGAGCACCCTGTCTCAGTACTCCCTTCAAGAGTTCTCAGCCCTGATACAAGCAGTGGGTTGGCTCTTGGAATGAGTTATGCAAATATTAAAGCACCTTCATGGAGGGTGTCAGTCTGGAGGACTTCCGAGGCAGAATATATTTGCATGCAGACAATCCTTACATGTGATGCTGAGCCTCCATGTTTGAGAGAACTGAACACCAATGAATGAAAGGGGCAGGCCAGGGAAAGTCAGACTGGAGAGAAAAGAACTAGATGATACTGTATGTCTTCAAGTCATAGAAATGAGGTGGGCTCTGTATGTCTTGCTGGAGTGAAAGCAATTTTAGTAAAGGAGATGAAACTGTGCAAGACAGAGGGTGAAGCTGGGCATACACTAGTAGAATTTTGTGTAACGCCCTCCAGGTTAGTCAGATAGTTTTTATTAGATAGAGGCTGAGTAGCAGCCTGTAGACTGGGGTAGTGAGGTTACCTCAGGACAGGCTGTGAGGTTCTAACAGGTCAGGGCTTCTGGAGCCCTCCCACACTTCCAGAAACTTAGAGAACTTTCTGGAAGCGGGACAAGGGAGAGGAGGCCCAGATCTGCAAGTTTGAGGGACCTTGACCAATTCTCTGACAGGAGGCTAGGTATGGTGATCAAGGCAACCCTTAAAAGTGGCAGAGTCTGTGCAGCAGGGCAGTGTCAGGAGGAGGAGATAGATTGAAGAAGGCTGGAGCCAAGGAGGGGAGCCTACCTACAGGCAGGTTGCTGGAAAAGAGGATCTCCACTGCCTCAACATCTCCCAGGGAGGAGCAGGGAAGGAGCTAGCCCAGTGCAATGCCTGAAGGCAGCCACCAATCCACCAAGCTAACAGGAGAGGTCAGTGTGAGTACTTTTACACCCCCTGGGCCAGATAAGGGGAGAGGGCAGTCAGGTGCAAGACCCAACTAGCATCTCATCTGAGGAGTAATCATCCAGGGTCTGAGGAGGTACACTAGGAAGAGCTCTTCAAGGAAAGAGACTGTTGCTATCCACATTTTTGTCCATAGTTGCTAAGGAGATCGTCCTCACGTTTTGCAGTTCCTTGGGCATCCCATATACCCCTAGACCCCATCCAAGTTCATAATCCATTAATAAAATCACAAAAACAAGCTCAAGGACTGTTTTTTGACTCCAGTGTGCAAGGTGTGGATAATGTGTGTTGCCTGGCCCTGCAGAGCATAGGGGGACTCAAATCAAATCCAGTGTCCCCCTAGGAAGGTTGTGATACATTTGTTCAACATTTTCTATCGTAAGAACGTTGTAAGAATGTTCATTACTTTTTCTAATCAATAATGGGATCAAATCAATATCCATTTTCAACCACAGTGACAAGAAAATGAGCAGGAAGGATTTTTTTTTCAAATGTACAAATTTGTTTGTGGTTTTCATTTGATAAAGTCCATTCATTCCAAAATCAAATGTTAAAAGGAAATGAAATATTAAGCTACTTTTGAACGACATTTGAATGTTCTGAGAATTTCTGGCAGAATTTTCATTAAAAATTCTGCAAGTGCATTCCCAGCTTAATGCTGGACTTCACCTTTAAAAAAGGACTCCGGTATAGGCAAAACATCATGCATTAATGCACCCCCCTACGCAAACCACTAAACCGTTAACATTTTGAAAATCCTTATCAATTAGGAGAAAAGTCTAATTGAATTTTCATGACCTCATCTCTGTAATTCAAAAGATTACAGCATCTGCTCTGCCAAGGAGGTGTAACAGCAGGGATTA